CTTGACTATTGAAGGGAAAAAGGGGGGAAAGGGAGAATGGCAAGAGATGCAGCTAGAAGTAGGCAAATGCTAAATCATGGAAGGTCTTAGAGGCCTTTTTAAGAATACGGAGGGGTGCATGGCTGGCTCAGTCGGTGGAGCACGCAACTCCTGTTCTCAGGGTTATGAGTTTGAGCCCCAAATTAGGTGCAGCTATTACTTAAAAATAAAATCTTTAGAAGAAAAAAATACAGAAAAGAAATGGAAAAAAAAGGACACCTGGGTGGCTCGGTCGTTAAGCGTCTGCCTTTGGCTCAGGTCATGATCCCAGGGTCCTGGGATGGAGTCCCACATCCGGCTCCTTGCTCAGCTGGGAGTCTGCTTTTCCCTCTTCCCCTCCCCCAGCTTGTACTTGTGCTTGTTCTCTCTCTCTCTCTCAAAAATAAATAAAATCTTTAAAAAAAAAAATGGGGGGAAAAAAAAAAAACCATAGAAAAATTAAGTAACTGACTTCCCAGGGCAGAATTCTGTGGGGAAGGGGCTGTACACAAAGTATTCTAAATGTTTCTAAAAATAAAAAATGTTATCATGCAAGAACATTTAGTACCTGGAAGCGATCAAGAATTTCTAAGGAAAATTTTCTAAAGTCTCATTTAATTAATAGGATGTTTTTGTGGTAAATATAAATTTTTGTTTTGCTGGAATGCTCAAAAAATATAGGGCATATTAAATTCTTTGTTATATCAATTATTTGAGTTGATCTAAATACAACATGATTTGGAAATATGTACTGAAATTTTTGGAAGGCTGACTGTTAAAAAGCAACAAAAAAGCTCTTCAGATGCATCCGTTTTTTAAAAGCCATAATCTCACTGCTTTATTCGATTGGTCTGTTTCAAGAAAAGCAGAATTATCCGTACCATACTTACGTCCAATTCAGCAATCCTTAAATACAATTTCAGGAATAAAGAATGAGAGAATCAGTGTTTCAACAGTTTATTTTAGCAGACTATTTACTTAAACAAAAAACAAGCTATTATAAACCAAAAAATAGAAAAACAGCTTCTAACCTGTTTAAAACCAAAAGGGTAAAACATTCCTTCCAGAAATATTTCACTTGATAGTTTTCTGTGCTATCTTACACTACTCAACTCTTGCTACGTAAGTGTAAAAAAACAACAAAAACCAAGGCAACCCTATGCTGCCACTATAACAGAAACTTTAGAGTTAAGAGGAAAAAAAAGTCAAGAGCAAATATATAAAAGCTCTCTGACTTCCCAAAAGAACAAATGTTTTCAGAATATTTTGCTCAATAAACAGATTGCTCAATAAGGTTTCCGACAGATGAACAAGAGGACAAAGTAGCAAAATGTAAAAGTGTTGCCATTCTAAGAATCTAAAAGAGAAAAAGAACATTTGGCTGGATCATTAAATTTAGTTATGTGATAAACCCTGCAGGTTTCCTCCAAACCATGGCAATGTTCACATCTACTTTGAAAGTACCCAAATATTCAGTCTCTTTGAACTAAGAGATTCAAACAAACTAAACTCCAGGAGTAAAAATTCTAAGAGATCCATTCACTTTTTAATGAATCACGGACTCAACTACAGAGATGAGAGTATTATTTTTGTTAAGGCTGTTAATACATCTAACAAGCAAAGAAAAAGACTTTAAATCAGTTTTAATGATTTAAACAATCCAAGTTATGAAGATCCCACCACCCTCACACACAAGTTTTGAATCTATGGAAGGTATAAAGTACAGAATGCAAAATAATGTGAAGTAAACAATAAAAAAACTGCATTGCAAGAGATGAAAACCAGTATAGCTTCTTAGGAAATACATAGAAAAAAAAGTTTTTTAAGGACTACACAGACCAAGGGGCACCTGGGTGATTCAGTCAGTTAAGCGTCTGCCTTCAGCTCAGGTCATGAGCCTGGAGTCCCAGGATGGAGCCCGCATTGGGCTCCCTGCTCAGCGGGGAGTGTGCTTCTCCCTCTGCCCCTCACCCTGCTTGTGCGCTCGCTCTCTCTCAAATAAATAAAATCTTAAAAAAAAAAAAATACACAGACCTTGAGTTAGGAAATCAAGCTGAGTTTCAGCTCTGCCACCATCATTAGATGTGTGAATTTCTGTGTAGTTATTCTGTACGGCTTTCATTTTCCTTACCTATAAAACGAAAGGTTGTAATTCCAATGTTCCCACAGTATTGTTCCATGATATTATGACACAAGTCCACATAAGCTAAAAAAAACCAAAGGAATGATAAAACAGTAAGGGCAACAGGTTCAAAGGAAAGTAACAATACCGAGAACAGAAAGATCTAGAAGGTTGCACTGAATTCAGGACCAAAAATGAAACTTCAACAAATTATGACTTCATTTGCTACTCTGGAAATTTGCGGGGAGGGGGTGGTGAAGGGATTTCTTTTAAAGAATAGGCAGGCTATGCACAGGCAATCAAATTCTCAACAAAGGTAGAAAAACACAAACTCTAAATGAGAATGACAGACTGGTTTAGGATGGTCAGCTCTCATAGAAAAACAGTGCTGTCATAAGAAAAAAAGAGGTTTTGAGCAGACTATTAGAAGGCCAGGAATTCTGAGTTATACTCTATAGATAACAGGGAGTTATCGCTGGTTTCACAGTGAGGGACATGGGGAAACATAATTTTAAGATTAAGGTGGAAGGCAGGACATATTGAGTAGAGACAAAAGGTAGGCAGAAAACCCAATTACGAGCTAGTGGAAAGGAATATATCTCAAAGAAATTTCCAAAAAATGGCTGACAAAAATTGGCCAATGCTATGTGGATAGAGGATGCCAAAGACAAAACCAAGGTTTGCATCTCGGTAGCTGCATGTATAATGTTACCAAAACAAAGTCAGCCTATGGAATCAGTAAAATGAGGATCATCCAGATAGAATTAATGCCTTAATTAAATAATCTTTAAATATCACTTGTCTTCCTGAGGCGCCTGGGTGGCTCAGTCAATTGAGTGACCAACTCTTGGTTTTGGCTCAGGTCAAGATCTCAGGGTCATGAGACCCAGCCCTAATACCCAATCACACTCTGCTCAGCAGGAACTCTGCTTGAGATTCTCTCCCTTTCACTCTCCCTCTGCCACTCCCTCCCCCTCACCCAAGTGAGCAGGCCAGTACTCTCTAAATAAATTTTTAAAATAAATATCAGTTGTCTTCCTAAAACAGCACACCCAAGTATTTATGGATTTCTTAAATGCTTAGTGATTTCACGAGTTTCCTCCAATTTTACTTATTAACTAAATAACAAATCATTTAGTCTTCTGATGTAGGTAGAGAACATTTGCTATTTTTCCATATTATAAAGGTAAGTAAATTGTAAAAGTTATTAAAGTATGATACTATGATAAAAAATGGACTGCATTCTGTATTTACTAAATGAAGTCCTCCTAACAAGTGATTTATAACAATAATCACATTAAATCTACCTTGAGCTTTTGGCAAGAAAGTCCTCAAAGGTCCAAAAGAAAAATAAACCCAGAGGCATAAAGTACCATTCAGTATCTAACAAAACATTCTGTGTACGCTTCAAATTTTATTTATATGGACCTGAAAACACCGGGAAAATATGGACTAAAAGATAACGCACAGAAAAATAAAGCAAAGAATTTAAAACTTAATATGTGAACAGGCACAGCTGAGTCTCCAGCACTCTGCGAATAGGGTTTAACAGGTATTATAGCTAATTCCTCCAAATCACAATTTTCCCAAAAAAGAAAATTCCACAGTCTATGATCAAGATGGAATGAAAACTACTATTAATCAACCAATGCATATTCCTTGTTATTATCAAACTGTGAATGGGAGCCTACGTAAGAACTGAATATAACTGACAATTATCAAACAAACAAAACCTTCTTGGATTATTTTCCCCATTCCACCTCGCTGAAGATTAAGATTTTAGGAACAGTGCTTTCCAGGTACTTAGTAAACTGTATAGTTGGTTTTTCATCAATCTACCAAAGACTTTTAAAAATGAATACCTCTTGGGGCGCCTGGGTGGCTCAGTCGGTTAAGCCTCTGCCTTCGGCTCGGGTCACGATCCCAGAGTCCTGGGATCCAGCCCCGCATCAGGCTCCCTGCTCAGCGGGAAGCCTGCTTCTCCCTCTCCCACTCCCCCTGCTTGTGTTCCTGCTGTCGCGCTCTCTCTCTCTCTGTCAAATAAATAAAATCTTAAAGAAAACCATCAAAAAAAAAAAAAAAAATGAATACCTCTTGCAACATTTACCCGTTTTGACCAGACACTGAGCTTCTTTGCTCACCACCCAAGATGGGATTCGAAATTCTCAACTTTTCTTTCGTAACTCCTATGTTTTCTTACCAAATCTAACGGGTGAAATTATTTTTAGGTGACCAGCTCATCCGTTCGACAGTAACTAAGCGCCTATGTTACAGTTCTCAGCCCTAACAAAATCCAGCTTCCCGAGCTTCTAACGGCAAATTTAACTTTTATGGAAACACCACAGAACGTCACAAAACCAATTACTGAGATTTTTTTTTTTTTACCGGATATATTACACTTAAGTCAAAAGCTCACAGCCGAAGCAACAAGCAAGCGTACGAAACTACAGCAGGTCCATATGATTAAAATAACCTCGATTTCCCGAGAACGGGGAAAACTGCTGGGGCTGGGGGGAGGGGCACAGGGCGCATCCCAAGGATGTCCACCCTCAGCACAGGTTACGGCCCCCTCCCCTCCTGTAGGGCTGGAGGTGAGCGCGCCCGTCCCCTCCTCTACCACGTCCCTACCTTCCCCCACCTCGGATTACGCCACAACAGACAACAGGACTTTTTAGGGAGAAAAAGAACCAGGGGAGTGCGAACGCCGCACACTCGACCTCCCAGCCTCGCAGGGGCTGCCGGTCGGAGCGAGGCCTGGGGCTGCGCGGTTCCGGGAATTGGCCAGAGGGTCGCGCGGAGGCGCGATGCAAACGCCCAGGCCCGGCCAAGCGGCCTCCCCGCCCCCTCCGGCTCAGCTCAGGGCCGGCAGACGGCGCCCGGGGGGCTAACTTCGCCGAAGAGGAAGCAACGCAGCGAGTAACAGGCTGTGTGGACGCACGGGGAAAGGAAAGGCTGTCTGTGCGTCTGCCTACCGGCAGGACCGTCTCACCTTCCCTCTGCCGGGTCCGTGCGGCCCCAGCTCACCTGAGGAGGGCACCGGGAGACCGCCGCGGCCGCCGCGATGGCCGTTACGGCACGAGGCCTCCGCTCAGCCGCCGCGTAGCTCTCCGGAGAGGGGCGGGACGCGCGCGGCGGGCGGGCGGGGCTGCGGCGCCGACTGGCCGGGAGGCCGTGGGCGGATCCGCGCGGGCAGGAAACCCCCTCCCGGCACAATCCGATAGGTTCAGTCCCTCCTTTCTCTCCTATCCCTGAAGCGGGAGCTGTCTGCGCCGCGCTCGGATTGGGCCGGCCCGCCTGTCAATCAAGTGCTGTGCTGGGCGTGGATCAAGCTGAGGCTGTCCAGCGGAGAGGGAGCGAGAGGGTGAAAAGTGCCTGGCCTGACCCTGGCTCATGTCGTTTTTGCGTCTCCGGTTGCTGTAGCCGATTACTTTGGGCCTTCCTCCTCAGCGCCACATTAGAGACTCCGCAGCAGAAATTACTGCTTCCCAAGTTCAGCCCCAGCTGTTCTGGGAGCTTCTTCCTGGTTTCTGCACTTAAAGAGGGTCTTGCCCAACAGAAGGTTTTTAGGGGCAGGGAGAGAAAATGAAAAACAAACCAAAAGGCCTGGAAATGGGAACCTGAGAGAAAAATGTAAGATGTATGGTTAATTTGAGCCACAAACCGAAATAAGCTGAGTCTAAGGGCCTTCCAGGTGCCCTGGTGCGTGGATAGCTTCCAGTCTCTGCTGTGGTAGCCATGCTGTGAGGAGGACAATGACCTTCGGTGCTAAGTGTGCCCATTCTTACGGCCCAGTCCCAGCCACCTGCCCGGTCATCAGTAAGTTGGTTCTCCCCACTCCAGTACTGCAGCCCCCCCACCTCAACCTGCCTCATGCCTTCTGAACCATCTTGTGGCTTGGCTCCACTTAGCCTTCGCCTCCTCAGGGAAACCTGCTGGGTTAGATACTTTTCATGGAGCACAGGTATTTTCCCCAAACAAGCTGTTGAGTTTGTCCGTATCCCCACGTAGATGGTAAACTCATTAAGTCAGGAACCATGTCAATATTTTTCCCTACTGCCAACTACATTATAGATGGTAAGTAAATATTGTTTAAGGCGTTAATACATCTTCCTTTCCCTTCTTTAATCCTGGCCTAACTGTAAGTCCCAAGGGTTCACACTTTTCTGCATTTAACTTCAAAATTATTCATTTGAGTTCTGATGTATGTGGTTTGGTTGTCATTATTTAGGACCACAAGGTCAAGCACAAATCACCGTCCACCCCTTCCTGACTTCAAGTTGGCAAGTAAACCATGAAACTCTGGGCAACAGCTACTGTATGTCTATATCCCATTATTAGCATCCAAAGTAAATAATGTAAATGAACTTCAAATTTATTCCAATAGTCTAAATTCCTTTGCATATTTATAATGGCTACTATGGACTGAGTTTGTCCCCTCACAAAATTCATATGTTGAAGCCCTAACTCCTAATGTGACTGTATTTGAAGACAGGGCCTTTAGGAGGTACTTAAGATTGACTGATATAAGAGTGGGGCCCTACTACTATAGGATTAGTGTTCCTGTAAAAAGAGACAGCAGAGAGCTTGCTCTCTATCTCCACCATGAGAGGAGTGAGAAGGGGCCATGTGCAAGCCTAGAAGAGAGCTCTCACCTGTATTTGACCATGATGGCACACTGATGTAGGACTTCAGCTTCTAGAACCAGGAGAAATTAAATTTCTGTTGTTGGTATTTTGTTATTGGCAGCTCAAGCTAATACAATAGTTTTATTTGTTGATATATATAAAGTTTATGGATTGAGATGCTATTATATTCATTTTTTAAGCTGGAGAAATGATTGTCCAGAGGTGAAAACTGTTTCTACAAAATCATACAACAAACTTAGCAAAACCTGGCTCAGTTCAATTTTACTTACATATTTAACATGTGATGGGTTGGGGTGTTTATACAAATACAACAGGTAAAGTGGTTCCTACCATCAGGTAGCTTATACCACTGCCGTAAGTGGGGAAAATAAAACCAGAAAAATATGCTGAAGTTGTAAGTTTAGATTTTATTTTGTAAGGGAATACGTATTTTGAATGAACCAGTGGTCTGAACAGACCCTTCACAAGATTTTGATCTAGATCTCTTGACTACTGTGTGCCACCTATTTAAGCAATAGAAGAAATAAGGGAAAGAGCTTTCTTTTAAAAGGGTTTTTGGTTCCCTGTAAACATGTTTTTTCCTTTTAGTTTTCCTTCTTTAAGTTTCCTCATCACCCATTCTTACCAGGGAATTAAAAAAAAAAAAGGGGGGGGGTGCCTGGGTGGCTCAGTCGTTAAGCATCTACCTTTGGCTCAGGTCATGATCCCAGGGTCCTGGGATCAAGCCCTGTGTCAGGCTCCCTGCTCAGTGGGGAGCCTGCTTCTCCCTCTCCCACTCCCCCTGCTTGTGTTCCCTCTCTCGCTGTGTCTCTCTCTGTCAAATAAATAAA